TCTCATAATGATAAAATATAGATAGAACATTTATTTAAAGATAAAAATTGTATTGATAAAAAACAATTATTAGATAATATTAGTATTTAACAAGATAATATTTTATATAATTTTAATCAAGTAAAATAATAAATATTTATAAATTTAAAAATTATTTCTTAAAATTTTTATTAAAATTAAATTTATATAGGAAGAAAAAAAATAATGAATTTAATAATGAATTTATTGTAGTAAAATATAAATATATTTTATAATTATAGATGTAATCAACTAAAAATTTTAAAAATAAAGGCAAATGAAAACAAAAAAGTTTAGATATTTTACTTAATTCAAATTCTGATAATAATAATAAATTAATACTATAAAAAAAGTAATAAATTAATTTAAACTTTATATATTATAATATATATTCTTAAATTTAAATATTAAAAGTAACCAAAACCTAAAAAAGTACTTAAAGCTGATTCTAATATATTATTTAAATTAAAATAAAGTCAAATTAAACATATTTCTTAGAAAGAAATCAATTCATTATGAGAAGGTTTTATTTGAATATAATAAAACATAAAATTGGATATACTTAATAAAAAATTCAAGTGGCTTTATATAACTTAGAAAAGTTATATATTACAAAACAATTTTATTAAATATCTGAAAATTAAAATATTTTTAAATAGCTTGATATATTAAAACAAATAAATTAAAATGATAATTTACAAGTAATTTTAATTAATAATTTAATTTACTATAATTTTTTTATAATATAAATTAATTTATTAATATTTTAGATTGGTTTTTCAAAATTTACATCAAATAATAAAACTGAATCAACTTCTAATAATAAAACTCAATTAACATAAAAAATTTATTATCTGATAATAAAAATAATTTATCATCTGATAAATTTATTAATTCATTTAATAATAATGAATTTTCTTTTCTTATAATCAAATATATAATAATACAATAATTAATAATCAATAATATAGAAAAAATATGAAAAATATGATAGAGAAAAAATTAAAACAAAAGATATCATATAAAATTAATAATATTGTTAATTTAAAAATTTTAAAAGTAAATAAAGCAAAATTAGAATGTAATTAATTACCATGCAAAGGTTTTAAAGGTTAAATCTAAAGGCTTTTATAAATTGGGATAATTTAAAAGAAAATTAAATATAAATTATTAAGGAAAATTTAAAACTACTAAATTAGAATTAATGATTGAATTAACAGATATATCAGATAAAACAGTAACAGTTACAAAAGCAATTAGATTATAAAATAATATTTTAAATAGGAAGTTAATTAAATGCAAATATCCTAATACTAATTGTAATACAATAAAATGTTCTTATAAAAAAGAAAATTTAGCTTGTAATAACAAATGTCATCTGGTAAAGAATGTCAAAATCCTGGAATTTATTGTTTATAATAATAAAAAGAATAATAATGAAGCTTTTATATTTTAATTAAATATTAAATAAAGAAAATTACTAGTATTTTGAATAGGACAGTTCAGATCAGGTCAATCAAATTATCTGAACTAAGAGGATCAGGTAAGATCAAACAAAAATCTGACCTGATTTAAATTTTCATTTGACCCAATCTGACCTGACCTGATCTGATCAAAATTATTTAAGAAGAAAAAGTAACTATTGTTTAAGAATAATAAAAATATTGTTCAAGAACAATAATGAATCATTCTAATTAAATGATAAAACATTGTTCAAGAATGATAACGAATCGTTCTAATTGAACGATAAATATCATTTAAGAATAATAACAAATCGTTCTAATTGAACGATAAAATATTGTTCAAGAATGATAATTGGTTGACCTGAATTTTTCAGGTTAAGTCAGGTCAGGTCTACCTGTTATCTTGATCTGACATTAGCCTGAAAATTTACCGACCTGACCTGAATTTTCAGGTCAGATCAGATCAGATAAACAGGTTGACCTGATCTGATTCAGAGCTCTATTTCTAGCAAATTGCATAAAATATTATTTTAATTATTAAGTAAATTTAACAATGATTTTAATATAAAGCAAAAAATATTATATAAATAGTAAATAATTAAATGTTTTAAAATTAAAATTTAAATTTATTCACAATTTTTTTTTGTTTGGATAGAATTAAAAAAGAATACATCGGGAAAAAAAATTAAAATCAATTAAAATAAATGAAATTTAAAAATTAAAATAAAGAATTCCGAAAATAAAAAAAAAAAAATTAATAAAAAATAAACAATTAAAAAACATTAAATTAAAATCGCGGCATAAAAATATTTTATATTAAAAAATTAAATTAAAAAAATAACATTAAAATTTAAAAATTAAAAATTAAATGAAATTTATCATTAAAATTATAATATTATACAATTTATACAAATTTATGGTTTAATATTTATGATAATTTGTTTATTTAAATTTGGACATGAATATTTGTGCATTCTTTAATATATTATGTAACTAAACATCTAATTCAATTTCTACTCCAAATTGTAAGACACTTTTTAATAATTGTAAAGCGCCATATGCTGTGCATTATATGTTATTTTACGTCCAAAAATCGATTTTGATTAATTCGATTTTATTAGAATCGATTCCAATCCTTACGACCAACAACCGGGATTCGAAAGACCATTAAATTTAAGACATTACAAAATTGTGTTACTTTACTTGCTCTTTTTTTTAAAATATAGATTTGTGAATAATGAGATCATGTCGTCAAGGTGTTTGGTGTCGGTCAAATGAACCAATCCCTAATACTTTAATATTATTACTAAGGCATTCGTTTTGTAATTGTTGAAATTACACATAATTTAATTACATTTATACTTTCAAGAAAAATTAATATGATGGATTTGATTATTGTAAAACAATTACTTTTCAATAAAATTTAATATTTTCAAAATATATATATGTCAAAAATATTGACCAGCAATTGAAAAAGACGACGCTTCAAACTCCGAAGTGTTTCGAACGGGTGAATAAAAATTTCACAACCACGTTACTAATGCATTTTTCAAAACTTGAATTTTCATATTTGTATTAATATAAACTTATTTTTTTTAGTTATGCTTTTTTAACTAGTAATGAATTTTCAAAAGAACCCACTTAATAATTTTGATTAAACACAAAGATTTATTAATTTCACGTGATACATATTAAAAATATACAAAATATATATAAAAATCGAAATAATAAAAAACTAATCAAATTATAAATCTCTTCGTTTTGAGGACCATCTCCTTGAGCGTTACATGATGCTTTTACTTGCCATGGTAGAGAATCGTATTCTGCATCAGTATGACACCTTGACACCTTGGAGTTCGTGTGACTTTTTTTTAATATAAACCTTACCGTTACCATCCATTGGTATTTCATATTCCGAAATTTAATAAGAATTTCAAATATAAATCTACAAGACGTATTTTGAAATTATTTTAGAAAAAATTACAGATTTTGTACTTTAGGATCATTTGTTTGCATCGAGTTTTTGATAATTGGTCTATTTTCTAAAATAGATTGACGGCATTGTTGTTATTCCCCCTTTTTAATTTACGATATAACTACTAAATGATATTTGAATATCTTAAGGATTTAATCGCGCACCTATAGTACATTTAAAAGCAATAGAAATCTAAAATAACGTTAGCAAAGATCGTGCCGAGTCATTTCCTAAAAGCACCCTGGATTCGAGTTTTATGTTAGGCGTCGACCGCAACACTTCGAGGCAGTATGAACCGGTACATACTCACACAAAGGACAAATCCAGGGGCTTGCTAACAATATATGTTAAAACATACCTCTTCACCCAAGGACGTTGTACGTGTTTTTTTTTAAAAAAAAAAAATGCCGCAACTAAAATGCATTTAAAAGCAATAATAACGTTAGCAAAAATCGTGCTGAGTCGTTTCCTATAGCTTTCTGGATTCGAGTTTTATGTTGCAACATTTCGAGGCAGCATTTTCTCGTTGCCAAACATTAACATGTTGTTTAAAGAAAAATCCGGAGGCTTGCTAATAGTATATGTAAAAAACATACCTTTCCACTGAGGACATTGTTTCTATAAACATTCTGGCATGTTGAACGACCACTTTACATTCGCAAGGCTTCGAGGTAGAATGCTCAAATTTAAATAGCTCACTCAATCTTTGAATAACGACAAAAAAAAAAAAAAAAAAAAAAATTTTAGGGGTATTTATATTGACGGGTTTTAGATTTTGCTGTCGATCACCTTTTCCAGTTTAGCCAATTTGAAACAATAGTTATTGTTTATTTTTCTGCAGGAAAGTGATTTCCCACGGTCTCGACAGCACTTTTTTTTTGATTATAAATATTTTCAAAAGTCTTCATTTTCTAAAAAATGCTTTCTTCTTTCAGCAGGGTAAATTATAACGCAGCCGATATTTTTTCTCAACGCTAATACAACCTTCGCAACCAGAAAGAAAGTGCTCGTCAACAACGTCTCGATAGCTTAGACTGGAACAGCTTCAGCAGAGGAGCAGGGAGTATGGCTTTCCATTTTATGCAATAATCTACTATTAATATTTTTCTTATGGGAGGGATGTCGTAGGCATTTTTGCTTGTTCTTGTGACTACGCTTTCTCTCTTTCTATTTCTGTAGCTTGAATATTAAATATTTAAATATTAATATAGTTTAGAATTAATATAGTTTAGATAGTCTTTCTTTCAATGTCATGTATCTTTTTGTCTCTTATGTATTTTAATATCTATGTAACTTTTTCAAATGTTCAACCAAACTTTTGCCTTTAAATAGTAAACATTGATAAAATAATATAGTTAACTGTGGTAGTGTCGCGCGGGTTAGTTGCGGTTTGCATAACTGCGATGATTTGAATATAAAATTCTTCAGATAATTAAATTTCTAAAGATTGTTTTCAACCATTTTCTTGAATAAAGTAGTTCAACCCTTTATAAATCATAACGACCAATTTCCCAAACAGACTTGTTCTTAAAATGAGATTTCATTTAAAGCATCAACCAATGAAGTAGCGTAGCGGGAGAAAATGCAAATTCCGATGTACAAATAGTTTGTTTTGGTATATTTGGATAAATACAGGTAAATTCTAATGGAAATCTATTTAAGTTCATATTAATCAACAAATTCAGCAAAACGGCAAGTCTTTCAGGTATATTAAACCCATACCTTTTACCTTTTTGAAGTGTAATAAACCAACCCGAGAACTGATTAGAAAATCCCGTTGGTAGCATATCCCAGTGATGGCAAGTGACCCAAATGACCTCAAATGACTCAAATGACTGGTCATGTGTTATTTGGGTCATTTCAACATTAAATGACAAATGACCTGGTCATTTAAAAATTATATCATAATTCTGGCCAAAATAAGTGATTGATTCGAACGTTTTCATAAATATTTTACGTGATATAAATTTTTAATTCTGGCCAGCATATAGAATTTGGCCTGTATTATATTTAAATGACCAAATGACAAATGACCTCAAATTACTAGGTCATTCGATGGTCATTCAGAGGTCATTTCAAAATTATCAAATGACCTGGTCATTTGCCATCACTGGGCATATCCGGTAAAGTATATTAACGCTCGTAATACGATCGCTTTGAAGAAGTCTATGGATTTAATAGACAATTACAAAAAATAAAAATTTTTTTCACATCTCCCTATCTCGACATATTTCAATAGACAGAAATAAAAAGCTCACAAATTTTACTGAACAATGTCCTAGTCAATTTATTATACACTAACTTTATTGTATTTATTCAGCAATAACGATAATTTTAATTATAAAAGTGATAAATGGTTGGAGTTTTTTAAATTCTTTATGATCAAAGAAGGTTTCTATCGAGAAACGAGAAGTTCCGGCTAAATTGCTTTATTTGTTAGACTTAATAAAATCAAAATAATTTTCTATATTATTGTAACCTTCTCTTCTTCATATTTATTATAGTGCAGGTTGTTCAGTAATAATTTTTTATTATATTAGTTTTTTTTTGCGTGTATATATATTGGTTTGGTAATAATAAAAAAGTTTTTTTTTAAAGAAAATATAATCAAAAAATGTTTTATTTTATTATTTTATTTATATAGAAGTTTACAAGGAATGTTAACAAAGTAAATGAAAAGTCTGCTTTTTACTTGAAACTTTTGCTTGAATTGGTTTCTTTTCTAAACAAAAAAAAAAAAAATAAAAATAAAAAATTCCTAAATGTTCTTCTGCTTCAAAATATATATTATGAATGCTATATATTTAATATTTTGGTATACATAAAAGCCAATCAACCATTATATTATTAATTATATCACATATTTTACATAGTATTTGATCATTTTATAATAAACTTCACATATCATTTTAAACATCTTATAATTTTTTTGATAATCAAGGAATTATCATCTTTTGAATTTAGGATCATTTTTCAATCTATTTAAATATAGCATAAAGTGAAAAGAAAATCTTTAGATTTCTAAGTATTGATTTTTTATTCCCACTTGTATGTCTTAAATTTTCTTATTAGCACAGTTTGTTGTCCTTCTGCGATATTATATCAGATAACCTTCTGGAGATAATTAACTATATTTATTTTGGTCAAAGCATTGATTTTAAAAAAAATAATTAATAAATTAAATCTCTTGTAACTGTTTTCAAAGAAACTTTTAGTTTATATATATATATTTATATACAAAAAAAAAGAATGTGCTAGTGAAAGATGAGAGAAGAATATATTAGAAAAAAATGAGAACAACCAAAAAAGCATATTTACAGCTAAGAAATACTATCATTCAAATTTAAAAAAATATAAAAAATTCAAATGAAAATTAAAAATAAATACCAATCCCTATAATAAATTACCAAAAATTTATTATATATGATGATCAAAAAAATTTAGTATCGTTAAACTTTGATTTTATAAAAATTTTATTGTTTATTTGAACTGTAAAAAAATCAAATTAAATAAAATAATATCTAATTTATTATTTAATATAAATTCAAAAATTTAAATATTAATATTTAATGTATACCTTTATCTTTAATAATATCTTTAATACATTTAAGTAAATTTAAAATTAAATGATATAATAATTCTATATTAAAATTTGCCTATTCTTCTTATATAACTCTAAATTAATTCTTACTTAGATTTAGGCAAAGGTTTCCTTTTTCATATTTGATGATTTAAATAATCATATAAGTATACAATAAGATTTAGATTTGAACTTTATGCTACCTAATCTAATACTGAAATTCCATGAGTATTTATCCACTAAACTGTATATGAAGATATATAGCATAAAGCCTAGTCTTGTTAAAATATTATATTTAGATTATTATGAATCAATGATATTAAATAATTTGCGAAAATATTGACATATATATTAGAGTTCATATTTTTGTCAATAACTACTAATAGCCCAACTCCATATCAACTAAATAACCTTAAAACATTACTGACTTACCACTAAACTTTAATGTAAGTTGAATGCAATTTTTAATATAAGCTTTACTAACCCTATGCTATACTCTTGCATAATCATCTGACTTAAAAAATGCTAATTTAGATTCATTAAATCATACAATATTTTTTCATTTCTCTTATCAATTACATTTTATTTTACATCAATTTAATCTATCAATTTGATATTTTTGAGTTAATAAAGGTTTTTTCTTAAAGTACAATTTTTAAATTTTATTTTATATAAAGATTTTAGAATAGTATTAGGATGGTAATTAGTAGAAAGATCATTATTTAGCTGATTGTAATTTTATCAAGAGAAGCAAATCTAATTTTGTAAATAATTCTTTGTAAAAAACATTTTTCACAATTAGATAATATTTTTGGTTGACCTAAACATTTATTAAGATATAAAAACCAGTTTTTTATAATGATTAATGGTATCATATATAGCTAAAGAAGGAATATAAAATAGATAAAAATTTTAATTCATTAGTGCTAGTAAGATAAGTACTAATTATTTGTTCTTACTATTTACTTATTAATTGTTTTTTTAGACATATTTATGACTAGATAAATTAGAAAAAGAGGCTGGTATTTATTTGTAATACTTGTAATTGTATCTATATCTAAAAAGAGAATAATAATGCTCTTAAAAATTTTTTAATTAATTATATAATAATTGTGATAATCAATTTCTGGTAATTTATTGTAGGATGAGTATAATAGTATACAAAAGTATTGTATCACCTAAATTAAAATTTTAAAATGGTTTTTCTTATGATTAAGAAAGCATAGTGTTATACAAATTGTTTATTAGACTTATTATAACTAAGTCTATTCAGATATATGAAAATCATTGTAAAGAAATTTTTAAAAATATGCAATCTTTTTCTTTTGATCGTTTTTTATTAAATTTTTATGTATATAAAAAAAAATCAAAAATCAATCCAATTATATTAAAACTTTAGTAAATAATTATTTACCATTTTTGTACATAAATTTAAGCTTCAGCTAAGATATAAAACTGTGATTTTTATAAGAATTTTATTGTAATTGAATATGTGAGTGTATAAATTAATATACATTAAAACTGGTTAATCAATCTACCAATTAATATTGATTATACCTAAATACTAGATTTAAAGAACATGTAAATGCAAATAAAGTCAGAGGATAGTTATTAATTACATTATTTTTATGAGTTAGCATAGTATCAACCAACTTTTTGCATACATTAGACTTCAATTCAACCCAAATTTTTTAAATTACATCTCATAATTAATCCTGTATTCTATAAAGCAATTCAAGCTGCCTCAGACGATGATCCATTTCATTCTAAAAGTATTCTATGGAATTTAAGTTAGAGGGTTGTACTGGCTGGCCAATCAAGAACCTATTATCTTCAAACTATTGCTTTGTAAGATGTGTAGTGTGTTTATGATCATTATTATTAATTTAAATCTGGAGCAAATATAATTTAACTTATACCCTAAAGTCTTGAGCATTTCATGTGATTTTCGATCGTATCTTCCATTCTGTAGTTCCGAAAAGATTCTCAATTAACATCGATTTCCGATCATTGCTTTTTTAGACTTTGGACTTCTTCGATCAAGTAATTTAACGTTGAACTAATCAATATTGTAAAATATTTATAATAAAAATGGACTTTTATTCTATTATTAAGATTCAATTAATTACTTATCATTCCTTTCTGGAGTTCTGCCAACGTTTCTACTTGGGCTCCGACTTGGTCTTCTGCATCTATCATTTCTTACGATCATATTATTTTTTTCAGGAGTTTTTATTACCGGAATTCTGCTAATGCTTCTACTTGGATTCCGGCTTGGACTTCTACGTCTATCACTTCTTAATTTCTATAATTTTTTTTTTTTTCAGGAGTTGGAGTTCTATTAATGCTTCTACTTAGATACTCCTACGTCTATCACTTCTTACATTCCTATCATTTCTTTTCAGGAGTTTTTGTTACCGGAGTTCTATTGGTTACTGATATGTTCTTAGATTATGTCAGGACTTCTGCTGCGTCCATGACTTAGACCCTACTTGAACTTCTTCCACCTCTCATTAATAAAGTATTAATTTTTTATCCTGAAATAAGATTTTTCTCAAATTAGCTTAGACACTAAACTATTGAAATATCCTCAAAACGATCGAACCGAAAAGTAAAAAAAAAAAATGAAAGCTAAATATGAAAATGATATAAAATAAAATAAGAAAGTGCAAAAAATTATATGAAAATGATTTACAACTAGCGCGAACATAAAGAGGCGCAACATTTGATCGAAATCGAACGATTGCTACACCCCGAGGGGTTAGATAGAAAACCGGTACGGTACGATTCGCCAGACCAGTACCGTACTGGTCTGGCGAATCGTACCGTACCGGTTTTCCATATACTCACCCCGAGGCGATCTCATTGCTGGGAGTTCTAAAGCACTTAACCCAATGAATCGGAAATAAAATTTTAATTAATCAGTTACAACAAAGTGATTCGTCAACGAGTAGTTAATCCAATATTATAATGAAATGTGTAGGATATACATCCCGCAATGGATTTGATGCAAATTTATTTCTTTAATAAATATTTTAAAATCTTAC